CGCCCCCTGCCCCGAAGCGGCTTAGACTGTTCTCGTCTGTGGGCACTAAACCCCTGTGCCCGCCCCACCGCCCCCTGCCCCGCGGCAGGTGAGCCCCAGGCTCCTAGGGGTCCTGGCTGTCACGCCCGACGCGCGACGCCGCCGTCACAGCTGCTGTCTGCGGCCAGGCGCCCTGAGTGTCCCGTCTCAGCCGGAGCTGCTGGGCGGGGCGGGGCTCTCGGGTCCTCTACGTCTTGTCTGCTCCATTTCTTATTTATTATTTTTTTTAAGAGCAGAGTGTGTTTATGGAGGGAAAGAAGCCCCTGTGCGGGAGGGGGACAGAAGGCCCCAGTGGGCTGCCCTGCCCCATTTCTTAAAACCTTAGAACTGCTCGAGGTAGAATCAAGTTGACTGATCCACGGACCTGAGAGCCGCTCGGCTGGGATGGCACCGAGGGTAAGGACGGGCCCGGCTCCCCTCCCTGTGGGGACGGCCCTAACTTCCGGGGTTGCCTGTAGACGTGGGCAGCGACAGCGCAGCCGCACCAAGCTCCTTTGTAGACTCACCGGGTCCTGCCCTCTCCCCTCCCCACCCCCTCACTCTTCCTCTCAGAAGCCTGCTGCACAGGCTGGGGATGCAGCTCAGCAGCACAGCGCCTACCTGGCAAGTGCAAGGTCCCGAGTTCGAGTCCAGGTACCAAAAAAAAAAAAAAAAATGCTGGGCGCTGTGGTGCACGCCTGTAATCCCAGCACTTGGGAGGCTGAGGCAGGAGGGTCATTGCAAGTTCGAGACCAGCCTGGGCAACTCAGTGACTCAGTCAGTTAATCTCAGAATAAAAAATATAAAGGCTGGGGATGTAGCTCAGTGCAAAGGCCCTGGGCTCAGTTCAGCCATCACTACGAAGAAGAGAATGACGCTCCCTAGGGACAGCCGGTCTCAGCACCGTCCCGGGTGTACTCATCACCTCTGACAGTGCGGCCCCGCCCATCCGCGGAATTTGGAACTGGAGCTGGTTTCCTTACTCGGGTCTTCCTCACACGGGCGGAGATGCCCCGGGATGGGGCGCCGGTCCCGTGTGTCTGGCAGCCGCCCAGTAACCCTGGGCCTAGCCCGGTGCAGAGCTTGGGACGGGCTCAGCCAGGAGCCTCTGCCCTGAGCTACATCCCCAGCTCTTCTGTGGTTTTCTGTTTTTGGATTTTTGAGACAGGGTTCTGCTGGTTCAGGCTGGCCTCAAACTCACTGTGTAGCCCAGGCCGGCCTCAAATTTGCAGCGATCCTCCTGCCTCAGCCTCCCAAGTGCTGGAATTTCAGGTGTGCGCCACCACGCCTGACTCGCTTTTGTATTTTTAACAAGAAAAGTTGCTAAGTTGTCGGTGCCGGGTGGGTGTGCTGGAACTCACAATCCTCCTGCCTCAGCCTCAGAGTGGTGCTCACCGCCACGCCAGGCTTACCGGACCTCTCCACTGGTAAAAACGAGACTTGGGGAGGGGAAGCGACTGGCTCAAGGTCAAGGTCACAGTCTCAGCTGCAGGCACCAGGGGCGCAGCTCAGCGCAAAGCCCTTGCGAAGGCCTAAGGCACACCCTGAGCCCCAGTGCCTGCGGAGCCTCCCGCCCGGCTCTCTGGGTCCCGCGCCCGCTGTGTCACACGGCCTCCGCTCTGCCTAGAACCGGGAAGCTGGGGTGACCAGGCCCGGGGCTCCCCTTCCCGGCCCCCCAGCCAGCGTGCAGGGCCAGGGTCGGGGGCCACCGCCACTCACCAGGTGCTCGCTCTCTGCGTCCAGGGCGCTGGTGGCTTCGTCCAGGATGAGGACAGGCGGGTCCCGCACCAGCGCCCGGGCCATGGCCACCCGCTGCTTCTGGCCGCCCGACAGCTGGGCACCCTTCTCGCCCGTCTCTGGGGACCAGAGCGGAGGACAGGGTCAGGGGAGGGGAGGCGGGCAGCCGGGAAGACAGGCATGGCCCCCCTGCCCAGCCGGGCTTCCAGGAGAAGGTGCCCACAGCGGCCGTGGCAGCCAGTGTGCCTGAGACGGCGCCCCACGCTGTTTTGGAGGCCAGAGAGGGTGCCGGTCCCGCTCCGTGCAAGGGAACCCAGGTCACCAGTCCTCACCAGCACAGCCCTGCCTGTCCCCCAGGGCCAGCCTCTCCCCAGCACAGCCGAGGACGCTGCCCAGTGCTATTCTTGGAAAAAGCCCTAACAAGTAAATAAAAACCTATCAACTCTCCCAGGTGTGGTACCACACGGCTGGCATTCCAGCACTCGGGAGGCTGAGGCAGGAGGATCGTTGCAAGTTCGAGACCAGCCTGGGCTACACAGTAAGCAAGGCCAGCCTGAACTGCGTCGTGAGACCCTGGCTCAAAACAACAAAACCTATCAATTCAGAAGTTCATCAGTGAGAAGCTGAGTCATAAATTGTTATAAGAGCCGGCGCACTGCAGTACTAAGCAGGATAGCAAAGGAACCAATGGGGCGGAGCGTGAGGGGAGGGGAAGGAGGGGGAGCAGGCGCCCGCAGATAGCAACATGGAAAGGTGCTGGGAGCCGTGCTAAGTGAAACAACCCAGGTGAGGCTTCTTTCCTGTGAAAGGGCAGGGGATGAAAACAGACAGGTATATTTGCATTAGGAAACCCTGAAAGAGCTGGTCATGGTGGCACACACCTGTAATCCTAGCACTCGGGAGGCTGAGGCAGGAGGATTGCTGCAAATTTGAGGGCAGTCTGGGCTATGTAGTGAGTTCAAGGCCAGCCTGGACTGCATTGTGAGACCCTGTCTCAAAACAAAAGGGAGGAGGGGCTAGGGATGTACGCTTTGAGTGGGATCAAAGTTCTGACTGCTTTGCCTCGGCCTCCCAGAGTGCTGGGGTGACCAGCCAGCTATGCCCTGCTTCCTCCTTCTGAGACAGGGTCTCAATTGTAGTCCAGTTCAACCTTGAGCTCACTGTGGAGCCCAGGCTGGCCTCAAACTCCTGGCAATCCTCCTGCCTCAGCCTCCCCAGTGCTGGGATTACAGGCGTGCGCCACCACACCCGGCAAAACCAAGCGGTTCTAATAATTATTGTATAGATTAGTTTAAAAGAATGTTTTGGAATTAAATAGAGGTTGTGGTTCTACAGTACTGTGAATAAACTAAGTGTCACTGAAAATCCACTTTATTTACACTTGTTTTTGTGGTTTAGGGATTAAATCCAGGCTCTTTGTCCTGAGCTATATCCTCAGCCCCTTTAAATTTTTTCATTTTGAAATGGTCACTAAACTGCCCATTGGGCTTGAACTTGCGCTCTTCCTGCCTAAGCCTCCCAGGGTTCAGGGACTACAGCCGCGCCTCACCAGGTCTGGGCAAACCGCTCACTCTGATGGTTACCTTCCGGCTATGCGAATCTCGGCTCAAGGACAGCGAGCGCAAGGCTCAGGCGGCGCCAGCACCGCGGCCCCCGCCCGCCCGCGTACCGGTGCTGTAGCCGTCCTGCAGCTCCATGATGAAGCCGTGCGCGTTGGCCTTCTGCGCCGCCGCCACCACTGACTCAAAGGGCACGGAGGGCAGCCCGTAGGCGATGTTGTCGGAGATGGAGCGCGCGAAGAGCACGGGCTCCTGGCTCACCAGGGAGATCTGCGGGGCAGAGGCGCAGGCGGCGGTCAGCCGGGGCCTCGAGCCCGGCAGGCGCCGGCCGGGAAGGGAGCGAGTGCGCGTGCGTGGCGCAGGCGCGCTGCCTGAGAAGCCTCTAGGCCACCAGGGCCTCGCGGACAGTTGTCCCCCTTTCTACGGGAACAAGTCAAAGGTGCTCCTGCCCCATGATCCTGGTTAGGAATCTGGCCTACAGAAATAATCCTATGGAAGGCATCATCGTGCTGTAAAGAAAATGAATGAGCTGCTGGGCGTGCTGTGATCCCAGCGCGCCGGAGAGGCTGAGGCAGGAGGGTCGCAGGGAGTTTGAGGCCAGCCTGAGCTACACAGTGAGTTCAAGGCCAGCCTGAACTGCATGGGGAGCCCCTGTCTCAAGAAAGCAAAACAGGGGCTGGGGATTTAGCTTAGAAGCACAGCGCCCGCCCGGCAAGCGGAAGGTCATGAGTTCAATTCCCAGTACCAGAAAACAAAAACAAAAACAAAAACAAACAAAAGAAGCAAAACAACAACAACAAAAACCCAACAAGAAGAAAAAAAATCAAGCTTAAGGAGTATGTATTCACAAAAGAGGAAACCAAATAGTCAGTCAACAGTCATCAGTCAGACACAGACTAGGGGCTGGCCATGTTCAGTGGCCAAGAACCCGAGCGTCCCGGCACTTGCAGGCCAGCAGCCCAGGTCACGTATGCAGGAACCACTCCCCAGCCACCCTCCTCTGGTGCATAAGGGATGCAGGGGCAACTCACAGCCTGACTCCTGCCCCCAGCCACAGCTTGGCCGGGCGGTCAGATACCTCTGTGCCAGTCCTCAAGTTCTCATTGCTGAAGGTGTAAAGGGGAGCACCTCAGTCACTGGTGTTCCTTTTATAGTATACAACCTGAACACCCGTACAGGTCTCCTGCTGGCACGTGGGCAGTTAGGTGAGCAGCCTCACTTCCGAAAGCACTGCACTTGTGGTCACGAGGAGCCTCCTTTGAGTCCTAGACACGACCCAAGTGTGGAGCCTGGAGCCCTCGTCAACCGCTAGCAGAATGTAAACAGCATGGCTGGGACACACTTCTGGAAGAAACTACTAAAGTTGGGGATCGGAATCTACTGTTCCCACACCTTTCTATTCTAAGGATTATCCTCGAGGGGAACACACCCATGAACACAAGAGATGGGCCAACTGTCCGCCATCCTGATTGGGACTACTGCAGCACCCATCAGAGCAGGAAATATGGGGTGACTGTGGCATTTAACACGGTGGGTCATCATTTAGCCATAAGAATGGGAGAATAACTCCACAGCCCTGGCCTGAACGACTTGTGCCCGGCCCCTGGGAGGTGCGGCACCAGGGGAGCACAGCAAGGCCTCTGTGTCCTTGGGAGATGCCGGGGCTCCGCTGATCCCCAGCTGCACAGGTGCACAACCCCTCCCACAAAGTGGTGCAGTATGTATGCATAACCTGAGCTGCACACTCTCTCACATACATCTTGGCTTGGCTTTTTTTAAAAATTTTTTTATTTGAGATAAGGTTTCACTAAGTTGTCTAGGTTGGGCTTAAACTTGCAATTTTCCTGCCTCAGCCTCCTGAGTGCTGGGATTACAGGTGTGTGCCACCATGCCTGGCTACAACTTTTTGGTCCAGTACTGGGGACTGAATCCAGAGCCTTTGCACAGAACTGTATCCCCAGGTCTTTTAAAATTTTGAGACAGGGTCTCACTAAATTGCTAATTGTCTCACTAAGTTGCCCAGGCTGGGTTCAAACTTGTGATCCTTCTGCTTCAGCCTCCCAAGTGCTGGGATTACAGGCGTGCGCCACCACAGCCAGCTGCAGTTTTCCTTTAATACCTTGAATCCACAGCTAGTTAAATCTGTAGACCGAGGACACAGCTATCTCCACTGTAATCCTGTCTAGATCAAGTTCAAACCAGGGGAAATAGCTGTGGTGTTTGGGGAAGCTCAAAGAAATGGCAAAACCGATGAAAAGCAGGGAAACGGGGACGGCAGAGAGGGCAGAGGGTGCAGTGGGGCCTAACTGTAAGTCCCAGCTACTCGGGAGGCTGAGGCAGGAGGGTCAGAAGTTCAAGTCTGAGGGCAGGCCCTCTCAAAATTTAAAGTAGTAGGGGTAGGGGTGCAGCTCAGTGCTCCCCGGGCTCCATCCCAAGTAGAAAAGGGGGAAAACGGTGGTGGCCGCGCAGGCACAGGCTGCCGGGCAGGGCGCGGGCAGGGCCCGGCCGGGACTCACCACGCGGTGCAGGTACTTGTGGTCGTAGGCGCCGACGGGCTGGCCGTCCAGCAGCACGCGGCCGCCCTGCAGCGGGTAGAAGTTCTCCAGGATGTTCACGCACGAGCTCTTCCCACTGCCCGAGGGGCCCACGAGGGCCGTCACCTTGCCGGGGGACAGGCTGAAGGACACGTTCTGCAGGGCCCAGCGGCAGCGGGTTTGGCCGGGCCTCAGAGGCGGCCGGGCGCCCCCGCGCACCCCGCCTGCTCCCTCCCGGGATGCCAGGACTGGGTGGCCCCTCCGCGCTTGCGGTCCCCTCCGCAGCGCCGCCTGCCCGGCTGCCGAGCAGCGGCGTCACCTCCCCCGCCCTGTCGCGCACATGAGCCCTCACCTGCAGGACCTGGGTGTGCGGCCGCGTGCGGTAGGTGAAGGTCACGTTCTCAAAGTCCACGCGGCCCTCCAGGTGCTCGGGCGCCAGGCTGCCGTCGTGCGCCATGGTCGGCTGCCGGTCGATAAACTCGAACACTTTCTCGGCGGCGCCCACGCCCTGCATCAGGCCGCTGTACACGGAGCCCACGGACTGCGGGGACAGACGACGCACGTTGTGTGCACCCGTCGCTCCGGGACAGAGCAGCAGCTCCGGGGACACCGCGGGGGCTGGGGGCGGGCAACGGCATCACCGGGCACACGGGCGGCAGCGAAAGTCACGAGCCGTCTCTCAGCAGCAGCCGCCAGTGCCCTGGTGATTACCAGGGGCTCCCCCCAGCCGGCAGGGCGCGCGTCACCGCGCCTCCAGAGAGAAAACGCCGACAGCCTGGCAAGGTGGCGACCAAGGTGTCCCGAAATTGCCCAGGCCAGGCTCACACTTGTGATCTGCCTGCCTCAGCCTCCCAGAGTGCTGGGATTACAGGCCAGTGCTACCACACCCAGCTGGGATTTTTTGGAGACAGGATCTCACCAACTAGTTCAGGCTGGACTTGAACTCACTATATAGCCCAGGTAATCTTCCTGCCTCAGCCTCTTGAGTGGTGGCATTGATTATAGCCATGTGTCACCATGCTCGGCTAGCTGCCATATTTTTTAAGACAGGTATTAGCCAGGCATGGTGGCGCACACCTATAATCCCACCCTCGGGAGGCTGAGGCAGGAGGATTGTTGTGAATTCAAGACCAGCCTGGGCTACAAAAGTGAGTTCAAGGTCAGCCTGAACTGCATAGTGAAACCCTGTTTCAGACACACACACACACACACACACACACACACACACACACACAGGTCTTAATGTATACTCTACATACGTGTATTTTCCTTGGGCAAACATACACAATATGGGAGCCAGGTGTCACACATCTGTAATCCCAGTACTATGGGAGGCTGAGGCGGGAGGATTGGGAGTCTGAATTCCCAATGGGAGGCTGGGCAACACAGCAATTTAGCAAGACCCCCTGCCTCAAAATAAAAAAATAAAAAAGAGCTGGGGATGTGGTTCAGTAGGAAGGCTCTGGGTCCAGTCCCTGACACAGTAAAAGTAAACACATAAATACTAGTAAGGATGGCTGTTTCACTGAGCTCCCCCCACCCCCTGCCTTTGTGCTGCTGGATTTAAACCCTGTGGCCGGCAGGGACCACTGAGCTGCGTCCCCAGCCCTCTCCCTTTCACTGTTTAAATTTGGAGACAAAGGCTGGCTAAGTCACCCAGGCTGTCCTTGAGCTTGCGACCCTCTGTCCCGGGCAGCCCTGTCGCAGGGTCGCAGGCGCATGTCCAGTGACTCGAGATCACTTCTGGGCATGGCGCGGCAGGGCCCCTCACAGGGGCAGAGAACTCAGTCACCTGCCGGGGCCACAGCGCACGCGGCCAAGGCTGTGAACCCAGGCCTAGCTCTTGCCGGGCTTTGGGTCTCAGCCGCAGGGAGACGCGGACCCAGGCCGAGCTGCCGGGGGTGGCACTCGGCAGGCAAGAGGCACGCAGTCGGCCACAGCTCGGCCCGTCACTGTGGTCGGCGACCTGCGGGGCACCTCGTGCCGGGCGCTGCCCGGGCCTGGTGCCCAGAGTCCAGGTGTCTGTTTCCCAGTGCTGCCAACCGGTGGCCTTTTAAGGTTATTTTCTCATTTTTTAATTTTGCAAACAATGCCGTCTGTGGCGCCCAGGGACATGCGGCTTTGCCTACTGGCGGATTTCTGAAGCATGGGATTTTATTTTACTTTTGGGGAGCCCTGGTGATTGAAGCCAGGTCCTCAGCACTGGACTACGTCCTGAGTCCCCTTTTTTATTTTGACGCAGGGTCTGCCTAAGTGGCTACGGTGCCCAGGCTGGGTTTGAGCTTGCAATCCTCCTGCCTCAGCCTCCCAGAGTGCTGGGATGGATGACAGGTGTGCGCCACCCGCCTGGCTGCTTGGAGGCAGGGTCACTGCTGGGTCAGTAACAGCATAGATGCCACCCTAGCAGAGACACCAACTGCAGCCTGGACTGGGCCGGATGCCCCCGATGCCCCATGTCCTTGGGCCTCAGCCTGGAGGGCACACAGGCCGACCTCCCACCCCCTACACTCGCTCTGCACTCACGGGGGCAGCCTGGGCCCGAACACCCCGGGCTCCTGGTCCTCAGGGGCCACCTCCAAGGCCGCCGTGCTATCCCTGTATTTCCTGGAAGGATGGAGCCCCAGTAAATCGGTTGCACCCACAGTCCTGTCTTGGGGCCCACATTCTGACCCAAGCACAAAGGCCTTTGCTCTTTGCGTGGCGCTGCCCTGACAGGGGCTGGACAAGGGTCCACCACTGGCTGAGCCGGGCTTGCGGCGGGTCCCTTAGCCTCCGAGCCTGCTCCCTTCCCTGTGAAAGGGGGGGCTCAGCGTGCTTGCACCTCTCTCTGGGCCTCTTGGTTGGGCTCTCCCTCTGCGTGCCTCAGGCGGGCGGGCCTCCTGCCACGCGAGTGCAGGGCTCCCCCGCCCGCCCCGTCGCCGCCCTCACCTCCATGCAGTCCCCCAGCACGAACTCGTAGATGATGAAGGCGATGAGGTTGCCGCTGGTCATCTGGCCCGAGATGACGAGGTGGCCGCCGTAGTAGAGGATGCTCACCTGGACCAGCAGCAGCGTGAGCTGGGGGAGACGGGGTCTGGGTCCCGGGAGGCCGCTGGCAAGGGTGTCCCCCCACCCCCCAGGCCTGCGGGAGCTACTGGACTCAAAGTGGGGCAGAGGCCCTGGGCAGTGGGGCTCTCCTGAGGAGGGACCGGCCTGCGGGGTGGCTGGGCAGCTGGGTCCCCACGACAACCTGCCCGGGGTCCCGACGGTCCCCGCCCCAGGCCCAGAGCTAGGGCAACAGCTGAATGCTGAACAGGAGCCCCCCCCACCCCCGTGGGAACCCTTCCCTCCCTCCTTGGCTGGCACTTTTAGGACTGTCCTGTGTGGGAGGGGACCCCAATAGTCCCTGCCTTCCGGCCCCCCTTATAGGCCTCTAGTTCTTTCCTCCTCTCAAGCTCCAGTGTGGCCCAGGCTGGCCTCAAACTCCCAGCCATCCTCCTGCCTCAGCCTCACTCCTACCCCAGTGACTTCCTGATCAGCCCCTTCCCGGGGGCCAGGGGCAGCCGTGGGGCCTCGCTCTGTCTGCAGACTGCACTTTGCCACTGTCCTGATGAAGGGTCCCGGCTCTGCACCCCACACGAACCCCGCTGCCCCAGACGTAGGACGTGTAGGCCGCCGCCTCCTTGCGGTTGAGCCGGTACACCTGCTGCAGCTTGTGCCCGTACACCTCGGCCTCCTCCTCCTCGTTGGCGAAGCTGCGCACCGTCTTCATGGCGCTGATGGTCTCCTCGGCCGTGCTGCTGGCCCGAGCCAGGGCGCTCTGCACCTCTTTGGAGAGCCGCTGTGGGTGGGCAGGAGGGACACAGGGACTCCAGACAGACAGCCACACTCTGTCCAAGCCCAGCTCTGTACCTTCCCCCAGGAAGTTCTGCCCCACCCTCCAAGCCCCGGTTCCTCTGGCTTGAGTAGAGACTGAGGGACAGATGGATGGGGAGAGGGCTTTAAACCAACTTTAGTACTCAGAGGAGGCTATTCAAGCTGAGTGTGGTGGCACATTCCTGTAATACTGCGCTTGGGAAGCTGAGGCAGGAGGATCACTACAAGTTCAAGGCCAGCCTAAGCTACATAGTGAGTTGAAGACCAGCCTCAACGACATAGTGAGACCTTGTCTCAAAACAAAACCTGAAAAACCAGATCAAACCAAAATACAAAGGAGGCTATTCATGATGAGGGTTTTTGGTCATTATTTCAGAAAAGGAACCTATGTCTGATCCTGCGCTGACATACAGCAGGGGGGACCTAGGTGGTTGCTGAGGTTGTGCACAATACAAGAACCGCCAACTGCTAAGGGGGTGCCCTTCCTCTCAGCACAAGTTCCAGGTGGTGGCAGGTCCGGGCTGTGAGAAATCCACGCACATAACAAGAGGCAGCTGGCTGAGATGGGGCTCCAGGTGTGGGTGTCTTAGCTGTCAGTGGCCAGGCCACAGGAGGCCGCAGGGTGCTCGGCCCGGCTGCCTAGCACTGGGTCACAGCTGGTGGTGGGTGGCACGCATGGTCTCAGGGATGACACACGGGTGACACACCTGGTTCAGCCTTCCCAAGCTCCGCCCCTAGCATGGCGTGGGCAGGACCCGCAGGGGCCCACAGTGGCCGGGTCACGGGACACCCTGCCCCTGCCTAGCAGCACCTCCCCAGATAGCACGCCCGGGGCCCCGAGCCCACAGCATCCCAGCAGCCCCGGCCCAGCGCGCCCGCCCCCTCTGCGCTGGCCCCCAGCTCTCAGCAGCTTCCAGGCAGCTGCGTTTCGCTGTGACTGCTGCAGCTGGTGTCCCGTTTTCCATGAGGCCGGGAGCCCCTGAGGCTCAGGAAGTAGCAGGCGCCCAGGAGGCAGGGGTCGAGAGCAAGTGCAAACGCAGCCTCCCCTTCCCGGGCCCAGGCGGGGCCTACCTTGTAGTACTTGCCGTAGATGTTGGACACTACCATGATGATGGGGAAGCCCATGAAGGTGACCAAGGACAGCTGCCACGAGAGGCTGAACATGAAGACCACCACGCCCGTGACCTTCACCGTGTTCCGCAGGAAGATGTTGATGTTCTGGGAGACCAGGTCGCTGACCATGGTGGTGTCCGAGGTGAGGCGGGAGATGAGGTCGCCTGCAACACAGGCCGTCAGCTCCTGCTACTGCAGTGGGCGCACCGTGGGGCCGCGGGGGACACGCAGGGGCTCCCAGGGTTGGCGCTGGGAGCTGGGTGGGGCCTCCAGACAGCTCAGTGCCCTGGGGCCCCGCCAGGCTGGGGAGTCGCCAGGGCCAGGCCACCAGGCGCCCCCAGGGCCCGAGCCCGCCCACGCCCGGTCACCGGGCACCCACCTGTGCGGTTCTCATCGAAGAAGCTTGTCTCCTGCGACACCAGCGAGCGGAAGAGACAGTTTCGCAGGCGGATGTTCAGTCTGGCAAATATGAGGGTAAAAATGCCGCCCCGAATACCTGCGGCAAATGAGCTAATTGCAGATGAGAGACGTTATAGCACGACGTCCTTCCGACAAGCGGCAGCCACCCCGGCCACCCCACCCCCCCGCTGCCAGCAGGCGAGGGCCCCTTGGGGTGGGCGCTGCCCAAGCGCAGGCCACTCTCCAGGCCGGGCCCACTGCGGGTGCCCCTCACTCTGCAGCCAGAGGCACCACTGGAGGGCAGGGGATGGGGGACAGGGGACCAGCCAGGGAGGGCGACAGGGGAGCCTCAAGGGCGGAAGCCGCTTACGAGGCAGCGGGTGTGGCTCTAGGACAGGGGTCGACACTGGTCACCGTGGTGACGGGCTGAGGGACAGGGCCCAGGCGGCCGGCTGCTACCTGCCAATGGCCAGCAGGCACACGACGACCACGGCAGTGCTGAACTGCTCCATGCTCTTCTGGATGACGATGCTGTCGATGGCCCGGCCCGTGTAGTAGGGCAGGAAGGTCTCGCCTGCGGAGGCAGGGCGGGCTCAGGGGGCTGGGCCAGGGTCCCCGCTCGGCTCCCGCTGCCCCCGCCCCCTGTGCCAAGCAGCGACACGGGACATCCAGGGATGTCACGCTGCCAGCCGGACACGGGTCAAAAACAGCGGCCACCCGGCACCTGGCACACGCAGCCGCGGCTCCAGAGTGGCCCCCGTCGGCTGCCACGGTTCGGGGGCCAGTGACGCTGAGGGGCCCATCCGCGGCCCACGTCCCTGGCTGAGGGGGCGGGGCCACGTTCTGCACAGCACAAGTGGCGGCTCTCGCAGGCCGCACATGCTGGCAACTGCCACCCCAGCCTCTCCATGGGCGCCACCGTTGGCCAAGCAACTTGTCCTTCAGCGTCCTGCGTCTCCACAGCCTGACACTCATCGAGGCCGAGCCGCTTGCTTAAGGGGAGGACTGGGCCCGAGAGCCTCCGAGAGGCTCTGACTGTGGGCTCCTGGGAAGCTGCCGCTCTGGGCGGGGTGCCCCTCGCCCCCGGCCCTGGCAGCTGGCTTGGGCTGGGCCTGCAGGAGGAGCTCAGCGGCGGCAGCCAGCCCTTCCATGCGGCCTTGGCGCCCTCTGCTGGCCGTGGCGTGGGAACAGCAGGGAGCCGCCCAAGGGCCTCCCAGCCTCTGGGCTCCGGCCACGTCCCTGAGCCACCTGAGCTGCACTCCTGCCTCAGTTTACCCTGTGCCACTCAACGGCCCCATAGCTTTGGGATTCGTCTCCTGTCCGGCGCAATTTATTCCCCACAGAAGAGGATGTCAGCTCAGAGCCATCAATCGCTTGCCTACATTCGTGCCGTTGGGGGGCCAAGAAATCCACATTGAAGAATTCACCTTTTATTTTCTTCCTGTCCGTACAGCGCTGGGGACTGAATGCAGGGCCTCAGCATGCCAGGCAAACGCCACAGCTGAGCAGTGCCCCAGCACTTTTTACTTTAAGACAAGGGTTTTTTGTTTTGTTTTGTTTGTACCCGGAATCAAACTCAGGACCTTGTGCTTGCCAGGCTGGCGCTTGTGCCACTGAGCTACCTCCCCGGCCCCTAAGACAAGGTTTTGCTAAATTGCCCAGCCTGGCCTCAAATTTGTGATTCTCCTGCCTCAGCTTACTGAGTAGCTCGGGTTACAGATATGCACCACCATGCCCAGCCTAAGAAGCTGTTTTTCTCAGGAGACACTCAACACTGAAATCACCCTTTCTTCCCGGTGCATGTCCCCTCCCGTCCCCTTTTTTAGAAAGCAAAGCTGGGCATGGATGGGTGCCTGCGGGCTGCAGTGATGCACAGGGTGTGTAACGTGACTGTGCTCTTCTGCTACGCCGTGTGCTTCATCTCATTTAATTCTCACAATAAACTAACAAAGCCTCCATGCCAGGGGGCAACTGAGGTCTGGACAGGTTAGATAACTTGCCTAAAGCTCTCAGGAAAGCTGGGGGCCTGCGCCTCACGTCTGAGGGACCCCGACGCGGTCCTGCAAGCGGCAGGCGGAGGCACCGGGTCACCTGTGTGTCCTGAGTGCGTGCCAGCCGACTCGGCCCAGTGGTGGGGACACAGGCTGGGGGTCACACGGGCGCACGCGGGCAGTGTCATCGTTCCTTCACTGGGCCTGTTTCTGCGCTGGGCCTGAGGCCCAGGCTGGGTGCCCTGGGGTGGGGAGGCAACACAGCTAAAGGGTTCTGCAGTTGTTTGTCTTGAGACGGGGTCTCCCTGTATAGTGAGGCCGGCCTTGAACTCGCCATGACCCTCCTGCTTCAGCCTCCCAAGTGCTGGGATCACAGGCGTGCACCACCACATCTAGCTCATCCTGTTTTCAGTTTTGGGTACCAGGAATGGAACTCAGGAACCCATGCTTGCCAGGCAGGTGCTGTGCCACTGAGCTAAATCCCCGGCCATTTTCACTGTTTTGCAAGGCTATGAAATGAGGACTCTACTACCTGCATCGCACCACTGGCTGAGGCGCAGGACTGCGGTCCGGACCAGGCTGTGCTGTCCCCAGAAAGCATGTGGTGTGGACGCTGCAGTGCCCCCCATCTCTGGGGAGGAGCAGGCCCCAGGGGGAGACCCATTTGCCTTCCCAACCCAGCCACACCCACACACCAGCGTAAAGTTCCACACACGGCGCCCTCTGTTACCCCAGGGATGGACTCTGGTGTTCTATCCTGCTCTATTTCATTATGAGGAAATTCTTCTGACCTAGAGATCCCACTTTCAGGAATTTATGCTTCAGATCCATCCACGTTGATGTGAAGTGTGTGAACACAGGCATTCATTGTAAGAGGAAAAAGACTCCAAACCCCAAGAGTCTGACAACAGGAGACCAACTAAAAAAATTATGCTATCGTTCCATCATGGAATACTATGCAGCCAGAAAAGGGAATAAGGTCTCAATGGGGAAAATTCCAGAATATACAAAGGGAAAAGAACAAGTCACCAAGACAGCATATAAGAGGCAGGTAATAGTGTGTTCCTGTGTGCTTGTGGCTGACACAAAAGAAAGGAAGACACGGGTCTCCTGCCTACCTGGAAGTTTCTAGAACCTTTTCCTATAGTTAGTCCTGAGCAGGAGGGTCAGGGGAGTGTGGCCATCCCGCCGTCTCACTTACCCAAAGCCGCCACGATGAGGAAGAAGGCCGCAGCCACGAGGAAGGCCGCGTCGGGCCTGGTGTAGGACAGCAGCTTGTGCAGCGTGGCCCCCGACGCCTGCTCGGCTGGGGCCTGGCTGTCCCCGCGGAAGCCCTCGGCCTCGGCCCCCGTGCCGGGCTCCAGCGCCTCAGTGTCGGGCCGCACGGTGGACAGCAGCCACCAGAGCAGGGAGGAGGCGGCCAGCGACGCGTACGTCCACACGAACAGGGCCCAGAACCACGGGTCCCGGATGGGCCTGCGCACCTCTGAGAAGAGCAGCAGCTTGGCCATGGTGTAGATGCCCACGAAGAGGCACACGAAGGTGATGACCAGCCAGGAGGCCCGCAGCCGCCGCGGCCCCAGGGCGCTGTTCTTGGCCACACCGATGGTGGCCCCGAGCAGCAGGCAGCTGCGGTACAGGCAGGCGGCCCAGAGGTCCAGCACCGAGTCGAAGATGTTGAAGTGGCGGATGTCGTCCAGCAGGCTGCGGTCCAGGTGGCTGAAGGTGTAGATGGCCGTGGTCATGCTCACGTCCATGCTCATGAAACCCAGCGTCACCACCACGGCCTTCCACAGCCGCATCCTGCCGGCCGGCAGCGGGCGGGGGCTGAGGGACAGCTGTCGTTCACGGGGGCGAGTCCATGGTCCTCTGAGGCCAGTCCTAGCGTCAGGTTTGCCCTGGAGCTGTGTGACCTTGCGTAACGCAAGTGGCCTCTCTGCGTGGCAATTTTCTTATCTGTAAAATGACAACGAGAGTGCTGACTTCCTGGGGTGTTGGGAGGTTTTCTTCCAGAATGTTAGGCTAGCCTCGGACTTACGACTCCTTGGACTGGAAGTGATCCTCCTGCCTCAGCCTCCCCAGTGCTGAGATCATAGGCATGGCTACCGTGCCCCGTTCGCAGGGGGCCTTTATAAAGCATCCTCTGCTGCGGGCCAGGCTCTGTTCTCTGCACCGGGGATTTAACAGTGAGCAAAAATGACTTAGATCCCTGGTCTTGTGGAGATGACAGTTCACACGGGAGATGAATAAACAAGTAAAGGACAGCGAGTGCTGAGATACGGGTTACCGGGAAAAAAGAGGACGATGAGGGGTGAGTGAGGACACTGCAGACGGGAGGCGGGGAAGCCCTCACAGGTGTCACTGGACTGAGACTGGAAAGAGGTGAGGGACGTGCCATGTGGGTGCAGGGAACAGCATTTCAGGCAGGTGGAACAGACCCTGTGGGAGCCTACGGCAGGTGTATGCCTTGGGCACTGAGGAAGGCCAGGAGGCCCCATGAGGCCACAGCAGGGCGAGGAGGACTGGGACTTTGGCATCAGCGTAAGGGTGAGGATGAGATCAGCAGGGCTCTCTTTTAATGACTCCTGATTTCTCTGACCCATTTCTGCATTTGTGCGGCATTAGCGTGAAGTTCGGTGTGCGTCCGTCCGGCCTGGGCACGGTGCCTGGCACCCCCTCACTGCCGCTGATCGTTATCAGCCACGAGCAGTGGGCACTGGACCCATGTGTCACTCTCCTCCCCAGACTTGACTGGATCAGGAGAGAGTGGGAAGGGGGTCGGTGGCCTGTGGGGATCTGTGCATCGCCTGGAAACTTCCAGAACCTTCTTGTACAGCAGGCTGGTCCTCACCCTCCGCCCCAGCACCCTTTAGCGTCCCGGCTTCATCGCAGCAGGGGCCCTGCAAGCTCACCCAGGGCCTGAGAGACTGGCAGTGGGGCTGGTGACCTGGGTCTGGGAGAGGCGCTTGTCCAGGGTAGGGTTGGGACGGGGCTGGGCAAGTCCCTGAGTGCCGCCTCCCAGCCAGTCCTTCTGGGGAGGGGGCTTTGCTCTCTGATCTGCAAAACGGGCAAAGCTTGGGAGCCCCCGTGTGGAAGGGAGAGGAAACCAAGTCACGGCGGCGAAGGGGACCGGCCTGAGCGAGCGAACCTCCCCGAAGCTCTGGTGCCCACACGGAGGGGACGGACCTCAGGCTGTGGAGTGAGCCAACCTCACAAATCTCATTTACAACTGGGGAAACTGAGGCACAGAGCAAGAAAGTCAACTCAGTCTCAGTCGTGAAGATGCTCAGGTGACAAGGACACACACCAGGACACATGCCTGGTACACAAGAGACCCTGGTACCCAGCTCTACTTGTGAACCATGTGGCGGCACACAGCAGGCATCCAAGAACTACAGCGCCGTCCTGTAACGTGAGTGACCTGCCCTCACCACTGTCACCACCCTCACGTGGCAGGTGGACAAGCTGAGGCCCAGAGAAGCTCATCACCTGGCCGAGGTCACACAGCTGGAGGAGAGCACTGCAGGGCTGTGGACTTAGAGCCCCTGGGCCCCACGCCCCGGCTCCTGACGGTGAAGCTAAGACGCATCTCATGCTAAGGGATGCCACCTGAGTTTCATATAAGGGAAACTGAGTCTGAATAAGAGGGATCAGCCGGGGGCAGCTGTGATAATGATAATGAGGTGACAAGAGCTGGCTGATGTGTTAAGTCATTTATGTACACAAATGCTCACAAGGGTCCCATCCGGTAGATTCTGTTGTTATCCCCATTTTACAGCTGAGAAAATGGAGGCCACACAGCTGGGTGGAGCTGGGTGTGAAATTCCAGAACCTATGCTCCCAACTCCAAAGCCCTGTTCCTTCCAAACAGCCACTTTCTGGGGGAGTCAAGACCCCAATGGTGCTCAGGAGGGGTCTGTGTCCAGAGAGAGAACAGGGTGTGAGGCCCCAAGCCTGTGCCCTGATGTCACCCCAGCACCTCCAGCAGATCCCAGTCTGTCTCGGCAGGACAGCTGCCGAGTCAGCAGCCGCTGCTCCGGAGGGAGGTGGGGTCAGGGCGTGGGAGCAGCGGCCCCGCACCCCGACCTGGGCCTTGCCTGTCCTCAGCCAGGCTGGGCCGCCGGCACGGCTTCCTGCTGCAATGCAGAGGCCTTGGCGCGCGAGTGAGTGGGCGAGCTCCTGGAGGTGCCCAGGAAGGGAGCGCCTGGCCCAGGGCCACCCCAGGCCTCCCGCCTACGCCACCACAGGCTTCCAGCTCTTCCCTGTGGGCAGAGGGGGACCACAGCCCCCTGCAAGTAGCTAGAGTTTGGAAGCAGGTGGTGACAGAGCTGCAGGCTGGACAGCAGCGCAGGGGTCTGAGCAGCTCTCCCCGCCTGAGTGCAGCCCGACAGCCCAGGCGGCCGCCACCCACTGGGAGCTGCAGCCACTCATCCCACATGTTCTGAGCCCCAAGCCCAGCGGGGCAGGAAGCGGGGTTTAATGAGGGCCACCCCGCAAACAGGTAGAGCAGGATGGCACAGTGGTCCCCGGGTGCTGGGTCCTTTTACTACAGCCTCCCCTCTAGCAGGATCCAACTCGGTCAGGTCGGATTACAGTCCTGGCTGGGGACAGGTTTCCCGTTATTTTTAAAGTTACTGAGCAGGAGGGTGAAGGGGACAGAACACAGGCCGGGAGGCACCGGGCCTCAAGGCTGCGGGGACGTTCAAGTCTGCCCTGCAGCTCACGACTCGATCAGAGGACACAGCTGGGCTCCACCAGGTGCAGCTGGAGGGCAAACTGTGGGCATCTGGGTGACATGTGTGGCCCAACAGACAACGACAAGGTGGTGGCCAGATGCCAGAGCAGGCCCTGCCCAGGGCCCAACATGACCCTGGAAGACAGGGGCCACTTGCCTGGACCCCTCCCACTAGGGGGAGCACAGGCTACTCGGTGACCCCTGGGGGGCTTGTCAAAGGCTTTTCTGTCCAGTGGAGGAGACACTGGTGGGGACAAGCCCGGCTGTCAGCTACAGGAAAGCAAAGTCTGCAGCAGCCAGGAGGTGAACACCCACCACTACAACCCCAGCGCTCACCGTGTCTGGAGCGGCACCAGGTGCCTGTGCCACCCAGCTCCGGGTCCCCACCCTCCCCCTGGCAGCCTGGTGGACACAACGGAGGCAGGGCTGTGAGCTCAGGGCCACAGCAGAGGTCCTGCCTTGGGTGGGGGCTCCATTTGCCCCTCCCTCGGAGCTTTTCACCCCCAGGTTCCCCCGCGCCCGGAAAGGCTGGGCTGGTGCTCATCCCATCGTGTGTCTGGGGCACAGAGGGTCTTGGAGGCTTGGATGGTTTGGGGCTGGGCTGGTGCTCAGCTCATCGTGTGTCTGGGGCACAGAGGGTCTTGGAGGCTTGGATGGTTTGGGGCTGGGCCCCTGTAGTTCTGTCCTGCCTCTCGCTGGGCTGCGCCCACATATCTCGACCTGGGATGGGGACCTGGTGGAGCTGCTCAAGTAACCGGTGCCTGGCGCCCAGGCCAACTGGGGAGCCCTTCCCACCACCCTCCTCCCGTCACCTGGCCCTGTGCCATCTGGAGCAGTAGGGAGGCTCCCCATCTCCAGGGGGTGGGGCAGAGGCCGAGGAATCCCTGCATCGCAGTTTGAAGCTATCTCAGGTGCACGCGGGCCTAGAGTGGGGGAGCAACCAGCGAGGGGCCCAGAAAACCCAAGCCTCGAAGCCGGCGGTGCGAGCTTAAAGACCGAGCTGAAAGACCGGGCGGGAGGGAGCTCGGACACCCGGCTCCGCCACAGCCAGGGCGCGGGGGTGCGGAGCTGCGGAAGGCCGATCCTGGGATCGACAGCCCTCCAGGGATCCCCCAAAACGCTCCCCGCCCACTGTTTCCCAGAAGACGACGTCGCCTGAGGGGTTAAAAAAATGGCACCTTCGCGCGCCGGGCACGGAAGGATGCTGCGGGGTGGGGGCTGGGACCTGGGCCGCGGGCGCGGGTACCGCAGGCCCGAGCCCGGGAGATGTCCACGGCGCGGGGTCAGGGGCCCGGGCGGCGCGCTCTTACCTGGCACCTGCCAGCAGGTGAGCCGCGGGAGCGGGCGTGCAGCGGGCCTGGGGCGTCGGTCAGGGCGCAGTCTCCGCGCCGCTCGCGGGAGACCGCTCCGGGAGTCGCTCCCGCCGCTAGGCTCCGCTCCGCTCCTCCCGGCTCCCGCTTGCGCCGCGCCGCTGCAAGGTCCCCGCGAGCGCCTGGGCCGGCGAGGGGGCGGGGCCTAGGATGGGCGGGGCTCTCGGGACAGGGGCCGGCCTATCCTCCCCGACGGGTGTGGCCTCGGGAGTGGGCGGGGCTCATGCCGGCGAATCCTCCCCCGCAGGGCGGGGCCTGAGTAGCCTCCCAGGGGCGGGGCCAGAGCTGGTTGCCCGCTCACCTAAGGTGAACCCTGAAGCCCTCTGGGCCGCAGTCCCTGCACGCTCCGTGCTCTTCATCCGGGGGCCGCCGCTCATCCGCTCAAGCTCTCATCCTCAAGGGAGGGAAATGGCCCCACCTACTGGAGCTTTTTCCTTAGAGCAGCAGCCCGACAGTGCGGAGTGGGGGTAGGGAGTTATGATCCTCATTCACCCGCAACCTATTCAGCAAGCATTTATCGAGCACCTATATGCCACACACCATTCTAGCATCTGAGAAGCCGGGCCTGCGGCGCGCCTGCAGTCCCAACTGTGTTGGGAGGCTGAGGCAGGAGGATCACTTGAACCCAAGAACCTGGCAACATAGTGAAACCCCCATCTCTTAAAAAAAAAAAAAAAAAAAAAAGCACCGACACCCAACAATAAGCCAAATAAGATCCCTGCCCTCCTGGAGCTGACATTCTAGTGAGGGAGGCAGATACCACACACGATAAGTAAACCATACATTTCATGGAGAGAAATAGAGCATGCCCGGCTTGGGAGGGGTAGGAGCGATCGGCACTGACTGCTGGGTGCTGGGCGCCTCGTGCAGCGGAGACAGGGCAGCACGGGTGCACACGCAAGGTGCTTTCGGGGAGCGCCCAGCGCTGTAGCGAAAGCTGGAGAGGTGACAGAAGCCGCCGGGGCAGCTGAGCCGGGAGGTGAGCGGAGCGAGCCCGGGGGAGCTGGGGCGGAGCACCCAGGCCGAGGAACCTGCGGGGCCGTCCGGGACCCACCGGCGGGGTGGGGACTGGGCTGGGGGTGGGGATCGGGGCCCGCCCACCCTCAGGCGGAGGCTCGCTGCGCTCTCTGAATTTAGAACAGCTTCCGATTTAAAAAAGAGTTTTTGGGGGAGCCGGGTAGGAATTTCTTGTATAGACAGTACAAAAGGCAGCTAAGATACGAGCTCAAAGGCGGTTGCTATAGTGGAACAAGTCTGGAATTAACCTAGATCTCCTTCCACAGGGAGCTGGCCAGATAATTAGAGAGCAATCCTTCGGCAGAATCCTCAGCCCCCCGAGAAAATGCACACAGGACAGAAACTCACGGGAAGCGCGGCCTCAGAAATCTACTGAGTAAAGTGGAACCGTGTTATCGCTTGTGTAAAAACAAAGGCAAACAGAGAACTGTAGAAGGTGGGATTGAAACGGTGAATATTTAAATTTTTAAAAAGTAGTACAGGAAAAGACATTGTCCTTAATTTCTTCCAACTCCTCCCACCTCCTGCAAACACACTTAGCTTGTTCTTCTTGACACTTGATGAAGCAGGTCAGAGTCCTCTTATGTGGGGGTCGTTATTTTATTTTATTGTCTTTTTGAAACAGGGTTTCACAGTGCAGTTCAGGCTGGCTTTGAACTCACTTTGTAGTCCAGGCTGACCTCAAACTCTCAGGGATCCTCCTGCCTCAGCCTCCTGAGTTGCTGGGATGACAGGCGTGTGCCACCACCCCGGGCAGGTGAAGGTCTTTAGAGATCACTATTATGGCTGCTGATGTCCTGAGGCGATTGAAATGTTGACCTTTCACGGTCATTTCAACGTTGAAGAGCTATAAGTCGCATGGTGCCAGATCTGGTGAATAAAGTGGGTGAGGACACACAGACGTTTTTTATGAGCCTGCCTTTTCATCAGATCAACTTCAACTATTTTTTATCACACCTCCCTCGTAAAGTCTTCTATGAAATAAGACTTCCAGAACTGTTTCTGGAAGTCGCAAGAATGGTGGGATGAATTCAAATTGAGGGGGAGCATTTTGAGGGAGGGTTAATGACAATGTGCCTTCTACTGTAATAAGATTTTTAAAAATTTAAACATTCACTGTGTTTTTTATCGCACCTGACACCTGAATCTTGTGTCTTGGATGGTTATTTAAAAAGCTTGACTATCTGAGACCTAGGACTACATCCAGGCTCTGTCCTCTTTGCTGTGTGACCCTGGCCAGGTGACTTTGCCTCTCTGGAGCACTGTAAGCCTCTTTTCTGATGCTTTGGGGATGGAGGGTGATTTTAATGCGTCACCTGGTTGGCAAACTCGATTCAGACAGAGCCATGGTATTCCAATGGCTGCTCATAAAGGAACAAAATTACAAGATGATGAAACTGTTCCCAGTGAATTGTGTGCTAACTTTCAGGAATTTGTGGTGGGGCTGGGGATTTAGCTCAGCAGCAAAGTGCCTGCCTGGCAAGCGCAAGGTTGTGAGTTCGGTTCCCGGTACCGGAAAAAACAAACAAACAAACAAAAAAAATCAGGAATTTGTGGAGAGAGAGAATCCACAGCCAGACCAAATTTATGCTGATCAACCTGGGTTGTTCTGGAAATGTCTACCATCAAGGACACTGGTTCTTGACACTGAGCGGAAAAACTTCCGGTATAGGTCAAGCAGAGAGAACAGTATGATGTGCTGCGGAAGCCACAGGTTTACTCTGTGTTGTGGGGAAAGCAAAAAACAAGAACAGAAAACAAAGCCTGTGCACTCAAAGGAACCGACCTTTCAAACCTTCCTGTCAGAGAGCGATCCGCTTTCCGACAGTGGTTTGACAGCTGTTTTACGCCACAGGTACAGAAGCATTTGAGATCCGAGGGTCTTCTAGAAAAAACAGCACTTCTTTTAGACACCCCCCCACCCGATATCCAAGTGAAGAGCAGCTGTGTTCAGATGGTGGCAGAATAATTGTGCAGTATCTCCCAGCAAAGGTCACACATCTGATTCAACCAATGAGCCAGGGAGTTTGAGCCACAGTATAAAGATACCACCGAGCAGGGCTTCTCCAGAAGTATACGGATGAAGGAACTGACCCAAAAATGTTCTGGAAGAGCTTCATGGTGTTGGACGCAATTTATGAGGCGTCCAGGGCCTGGAACACGACAAAAGCAAGTGCCATCGCCACAGCGCGGAGAAAACTGTTCCCCGGCGATGAAGAACCTTCAGTCACGAACACTGACGGAAGAGGCACTTCGTAGCTAACTCAGTGACAGTCTTACAGAATGCAGAAGCCTGTGAACACGCTGGAGTTGAGAATACAGAGCAGCGGTCTAACCCTCGCTGCATTGAATCCGGAGAAGCACGTGAGCCACAAAGGTGCGCTTGAAGGGGCTGCAAGTGTGCTGTTATCTAGGACAGCAGGACGGCAGCTTCTGTCTGATAAACTGCTGTTACGGAGGCTTCAGGCCGTAAGAAGAAAACAAAAGATCCACAGTAACAAAAATCGTTCATGGTGCTCTTAAGTGTTTCCGTTTTCATCTTTGTGGGGTTTCTTTTGACTTTTTGAGACAGGGTCTTAGTATGCAGTTCAGGCTGGCCTTGAGCGCACTTTGTGGCCCAGGCTGGTCTCGAACTCTCAATGATCCTCCTGCCTCGGCCTCCCCAGTGCTGGGACTACAGGCGTGCGCCACGCCAGCTTTTGTGACGGTTTATCTGCAGTGGAACTTACCTTGTCTGAAGTGCTCCAGGCCAAACAGATTTCATAAATGATTTTAGGGTCAGATGGCTTTTGGATTTTACCCAAATCACAGCTCTCTAATGTTGACTCCGGTAACAGCATTATCGTGGAACTTGTCTGCCTGCTGTTTTTAATCTGTATAAATACGAAGTAGATCATAAGGGACGTAAGGCCAGGGATCTCTGTTTGTGCCTGGATTTCAGTGTGTCTAATAAAAGTCCCTGCACATTACAGGCATTCAATAAATTTTACTTAAATTGAAAAAGAAATATCCATGGCAACTTCATTCATAACATCTCCAAACTGGTGGCACAGCAGATGCCTGGCAAGTATAGAAAGGGTCGGTGAAGATGGGCAGGTTTAGCTGAGAGAAGAAATACAAAGCAGCCTGGAAAATGTCCACCGGCTCCGCAAGAGGGTGGAGGTTCTCAGGAGCACAGTGCAGAGGGAGAGGTGGCTTACAGCAGCTCACGTGGTGTGATTTTATCTGTAGCAGGTACAAGAGCAGACCAGGCTAACCTTCGCTACCAGGAGTCAGGGTAGTGATGAGCCTTGGGAGGTGGGTAGTGGCCAGCAGGGAACTTGGGCTGGGTGCTGGAATGTCCTGTGTTGGGACTCTTGGGTGTGTCTAATTTGAAAATGTCTCAGCCTCCTGAGCGCTGGGATTACTGAGGTGTGCCACCACACCAAACTCCTAGTTACACTCTTAGATCTCACTGAGCCTCAGTTTCCTCATCTGTACAATGGGGTTAGCAGTACCTCAGGCAGTCAGCATGGAAATACGTCAGTACTACTGGAAGCACATGGCAAATCGATGCTTCCTATGAACTAGGCTTTTTTGTTTTTGAGACAGGGTCTCCATATATAGTGCAGGGTGGCTTGAGCTATGTACCCCAGGTTGGCCTCAAACTCACAGAGATCCTCTTGCCTCAGCCTCCCAAGGGCTGGGATTGTAGGTGTGCCAGCTCTGTTAACTAGTTTTGCTGCTGTTCCTTGGAGACTGAGCCAGGCTGGGGTACAGTGGGGACACTGTCTGCTCCCGAGGGTGGCATGACCACACTGATGACCACATTACTGCTCACCAGGAAAGAGAGAAATCCAACTGGGTCAGCAGCAGGTGATGGGGCCGCAGGTTCAGCCTGCTCAGGCCCTGGCTAGTGTGCTGGCAGTGTAAAGCTGGGCCTTGGGTGAGACAGCTGATGAGGGGGCGAAGAGTGAGCTGGGGAAGCGAAGCCCTTCCTGGAGAGCAGGTCCTTCGCTATCTCAGGGCAATCGAGACAACTGTGAAACTTTATGTATTTATTTGTTTATTTTCTGTAAAACTTTAAACAGTGTCTCAGGTGAGTAGCTTCTGGAAGGAAGCGAGCTCTCACAGTCAGGAGGCCCAGGTTGGGCTCCTGGACCCCCCGTCCTGTGACCTCACATCTGAGGACAGGGGACACTGTCGTAGACCTGCTTGCTCCATTAGGGACAACCCAGTCATCAGTCTTGGTTTAATTCCAGACTGTCCCACTTATGAGCTGTGTGACCTGGCGGGGGCAGTCAACCTCTCTGGTCCTCATTCTCTTCACAGAGTTTGCTGTGAAGTTTAAACAGATTTCCTCTGCAGGGTAAAATTCAAAACGTTAGCCAAGGCCTCCTTTGCACAAGGATTCAGTGCCAACCCCACTGGGGGGCTCATTCCCTGGATTGCGGCTCCCTGAACACTTCTCTGTTCTTTTAACCCAGGGATAACCACTAAGCAATCTTCTCATATCGTGAATCACTTTGGCCCATTACACATAGATAAATGGAATTATTATATACAGAATATGCTCTTTTCTGTGTGGCTACCGTTGTTATGACACCATCTTGTCGATGTTCCTCCATATTGTTGGATGTTCTGGGGAGTATTCTCATTGCTTTACTTGTCTGTTCTTCTTTTTTGTTTGTTTGTTTGTTTTTTTGTCTTTTTGAGACAGGGTCTCTCTATGCAATTCAGGCTGGCCTTGAGCTCACTTTGTAGCCCAGGCTGGTCTCAAACTCACAACCATCCTCCGGTCTCAGCCTCCAGAGTGCTGGGATTACAGGAGTGCGCCACCACGCCTGGCTTTCTCTGTTCTTTAAGCAAGCCCAGCCTATGGTCACCCCAGAGCCTTTGCACTGGCTTCCCGCCTAGAACCCTCTCCTGGCAGAGCTGCTGGAGCAGCAAGAGCTCCGCTGAATGTCTCAGCTAGCCTGGCCTCGCCCCATATTCCGGCACTTGTTCCCTTCCTTACTCTGTCTTCCACACTTCCTAAGGGCCGCAGAGAACTGAAGGATGCCCCCAGAGGTAGGAAGCTGTGAATGGGACCTTAGTTGGAAAAGAGTCTCTGCAGAGGGAATCAAGGTAACGACCCTGAAATGGGGCTGCCTTTGGTTATCCGGGCAGGCCGGACCTAAGTTTGCGGCAGGGTCCTTCTAAGCGCCACAAAGGCAGGGGCGGAGGCTGGCCGGAATTTCTGGCCACCCAGTGTGCGGTAATTCCAGGCTGTAAGCTAACATAGGCACAGAGCTTGTCGGCAACTCCAGACACACCTCCCACACTCAGGTGCACGCCCTGCACACTCAGGAGCTCTCCCTGCTCCTGCGAATCCAGTGTGACAGACAGCCGCGCTGCGGTGGGCCCTTGGCAGAGAGGCGCCCCCTGGACCCCTGCGGTGCCCCCTGGATCCCTGGGGCGGGCGCTCTGCTAGCTGACGCACACAGTGGAGAGGACGGTCAGGCCGCGTCACAGGGCGCCAGGGTGCTCCCCGCGCCTCTGAGGGTCTGGGGCTTCTGTGGCCCGCGGTGGCTGGCAGCCGGGCTTGCTCCAGAGCCGCGAGCCAGGGCCAGGCTTTCCGTGTGTGTGTGCCGTGTGCGGCGTGTGCGGGGAGAGCAGGTGTGCGTGCGCGTGCTTCCGCGTGTGGGGTGTGAGTGCGAGGGCGGCGACGAGAGCGCGGGGCTGTCCGCGTGTGCGGATGCCCCGGAGCACGCGTGCGCAGGGCGCGTTGGCGCGGGACTCGGCAGGAAGGAGAGCGTCCTCGGTGAGACGGCAGCAAACGCCAAGCCCCGCAGAATCCCACCCCTCAGGCTCCCGGGTGGGAAGCGGATCGGCTGCGGGAGGCGATTCCGAGCGCAGACTCTAGGGGCGTGGCCGCTCCGAGCCTCAGTTTCCCCTCGGGTGGGTGGCAGGCTGACAGGGGAGTGTCTAGCTCGGGGGTTTGCTGTCCGAAGGAAAGGGGCTGCGGTGGTAGCAGAAGGCTCAGGTCGACAGAGAAGGAGCTGTCCCTTGCAGTCGCCCACCTGGGGCAAAGGCTTCGCCGCGCCCTCCCGCCCCGCTGAGCCCCGGCTGGGCCTCCGGGGACCCGGGACGCCAATTCCCCAAGTGACGGGGCTTTGCAGACCTGGGCTTGGGGTGCGCGGGGAGAAATGACGGGGACCCACGGAACGGTCACGCCGGAAGACACCAGCGCGGTACTTATCTCACACTGCGGCTGTGCTGAACTCGCACCCGGTCCGGACGCGAGGAGTGACCACCGGCAGACCCCGCCCAGGGTCCCGCCCACACCGGGTCCTTCCGGGTCGCCGCCGGAAGTCGCGCAGGCCGGAGCGTTTTCGCGGAGGCGCTGCGCTGGCCGGGAATTGTGTTTGCGAGCGACGGGCGGGGACCTGGGGTAAGCGCTGCACTGGAGCTCAGCGGGAACAAGGGCGTATTTCACAACTCCTAACTGTCCTGGCGTCCACGTGAGGTCAGGTGGCTCTCCGAAAGTCCCTAGCTGAGGAGGGGGCAACATTTAAAAGAAAAGGCTTTGTGGATCTGTCCACGTCCCATGATGGTGTGACCTAGCTCACCTACCCACGAAGTGTCCCATGGTGGGGAAATCAGGCAGAACGTGGGGGGCCGCCCGCCCTCTACGTACTTTTCTGCTCTTGCGAATTTAGGACGGTCCCTGGGGCGCTGGCTCCACCCCGCTACCGGCGGGGGGCGTACCCGAAGTGCCCCACGGAATCCGAGAGGGCCGCGCGGCGCTTCACCATGGCGACGGCGGCGGCCCCGCGCCGCTTCTGCCGCTGCGCCTGCTTCTGCTCCGAGAACCTGTACGTGGCGCGCTATGGGCTGCACCTCCGCTTCCGAGACGAGCAGCAGCTGCGCCAGGACTACGGCCCCGTGAGTGACCCCTGCTGGCTCTCGGGAGAAGTGGACAGAGGGGGACGCGGAGTGCTGTCCCCGAGACTGCGTGCTCAGATCCGAGGACCCCCCGCCCCGTGCCTGTGCTTCCCCATCCTAAAGGGGTGGATAGCCTGTCGGCAGTGAGTTGTCGCGAGGAAGGAGTGGGTGAGCCCATGCGTAGGGTGCTCTGCTGGCGTTGGTAGGAGCAACGGGGAACCCTGCTCGGTGCTTAAGTCACCTCGCTGATCCTGGACGCCCTGGCGCACATCTGCATTTTAAGGAGGGGACACGGAGCCGCACAGTCACACTCACTGGTCTGTCTTCTCTCAGATCCTGCGCAGCCGCGGCTGTGTCCGCACCGAGGACTTCCAGCAGCTCCTAGCGGAGGTAACGCTCCGTCCTCGGCCCGCCCCGCGCTCCCTCGCTGTGTAGCGGACTGCGGGGTCTCCCAGCCTCAGTCCCTAAGGGCTCCTTGGCCCACTTCCTGCCCCCACTCACCCCTACTCCTGGGTCCTGGTAAAATGAGAAATGGAGAAGGGCCAAGTTGTCTGCGTCGGGCGCCTCTTGACCGAGGTGTGAGGCACCGCCACACCCACATTCTGGGAGAAGCAGGTCCGAGAGGAGGGCGCCTGCCTAAGGCCCCAGTGGGTAGGGCTGAGATCCAGACTCTGGGCCCCGCGACCTCTGTGGCCTCTGAGGCTGGTGCCAAGGCTGCTGCTCCGCACCTCCCGCTGCCTCCCTGACGTGGTCATGGCTAGACCACAACTGCTTCCTTCTCTCATCTCACCCAGCCTAGGCTGGAGCAGTGAGATGGGCCCCCTTTCAGAAGCCCGTTGCTGGAACTACAATCCCAGCACTCTGGGAGGCTGAGGCAGGAGGATGGTAAATGTGAGTCCCTCCTGGGGAACTTAAGGAGACCCTATCTCAAAATAAAAAAAAAAAAAAGGAGCAAGTACTGTAGCTCAGTTTTTAAAAAGTCAGCTAAAAGTTTGCTACCTGCATTCGGCTCTGATAGATTCAGGAACATAGGGGGACATGACTCCCGGCCTGTGTGCCACTCTGGCCTTCCTGGGTCTCAGTTTCTTCATCTGCACAATGGGCTTCAGGGGAATTGGAGGTCCTGCACGTAACTGAGCTCTGTGCCACCTCAGCTTGAGCAGGAGGTAGAGCGGAGGCGGCGGCTGGGGCAGGAGTCAGCTGCCAGGAAAGCCTTCATCGCGAGCTCCTACCGCCCAGCACGGCCCGACATCTACACCACACTGCAGGTACCAGGCAGGGGGCCTGGGGCTGGTCCCTGGATGCAGATGGGGTATTCTGGCCCCTACAGCTGGCGTGTTCTCCCCAGGGTGCAGCTTTGGCCCCTGAGTTTCTGGCTGCAGTTAAGTACAGTGCATCCCCGGGTGCAGACCTTGCGGGTCTCCTCCAGTGGCTGGAGACAGTGTCAGGTGAGGTCATAGCGCGGCACCACAGCAGGATTTGGGAGCAGCAGTGGGAGATGCCTGGGCATGGGAGACTCATTGTGTCTGCCCTCAAAAACCAAACCAGAGGCCAGGCGTGGTGGCACACGCCTGTGATCCCAGCACTGGGGAGGCTGAGGCAGGAGGATCCCTGAGTTCGAGGCCAGCCAGGGCTACAAGTGAGTTTAAGGCCAGCCTGAACTGGAAACCCTGTCTCAAAAAGACCAAAAAAAAAAAAAAAAAAAATCAAACCAGCAGCAGCTGGAAGGGCCAGTGGGACCAACCTGACAGGAAAGGGGGAGCCCTGCCGTGAGAGGTGAAGGCCCGCTCCTTGTCCACTGCATTGATGAGCGACAGGCTGGGCACAGAGAGCGAGAAGCAGAGCCCGAGGCCCAGGCCTGCGTGGCCCTGCCTGAGCTCCCAGCCACTGCCCGTCCCGCCCACCCCATCTCAGAGGAGAAGCGCATCTACCGTGTGCCCGTGTTCACCGCGGCCTTCTGCCAGGCCCTGCTGGAGGAGCTGGAGCACTTCGAGCAGTCGGACATGCCCAAGGGCAGGCCCAACACCATGAACAACTACGGGGTGGGTGCAGCCTGTGCCGTGTGCTGGAGGGATGGGGGGAGAAGGGGGTGCTGCCAGGGCGAGCCTAAGCAGAGTCCTTGGGAAGAACCGTCCCCAGGGGCGCAGGGTGAGGCCCCAGAGGCCTCTGCTGATCCCAAGGGCCCGCCCCCAGGTGCTGCTGCACGAGCTGGGCCTGGATGAGCCGCTGGTGACCCCACTGCGGGAGCGCTTCCTGCAGCCCCTGATGGGCCTGCTGTACCCGGACTGTGGTGGGGCGTGGCTGGACAGCCATCGCGCCTTCGTGGTCAAATATGCACCGGGTCAGGACCGGGAGCTGGGCTGCCACTACGATAACGCGGAGCTCACGCTCAACGTGGCCCTGGGCAAAGCCTTCACAGGGGGCGCCTTATACTTCGGGGGCCTCTTCCAGGTAAGTGTGAGCTCCGCGGGCAGGGCCGGGAGCAGCGTACCCGTGGGCGCCAGGCCTGAGCACTGCCGCTTGCAGGCGCCTGGGGCCCTGATGCAGCCCCTGGAGGTGGAGCACGTGGTGGGCCAGGGCGTCCTGCACCGGGGCGGCCAGCTGCATGGGGCCCGGGCCCTGGGCACCGGTGAGCGCTGGAACCTTGTCGTCTGGCTCCGGGCCTCTGCTGTGCGCAACCGCCTCTGCCCCATGTGCTGCCGTAAGCCGGACCTGGTGGACGAGGCTGAGGGCTTCGGCGACGGCTTCACCCGGGAGGAGCCCCCCACGGTGGACGTGTGCACGTTGACCTGAGCCTGGTGTGGCCCCGCAGTGCGCGGGCGAGGCATCTGTCACCTGGGGTCTGGAGGGGCAGAATAAATTCCCTGTTCCCTGCAGCCACGGTGCTTGTTGGGTCAGCAAGGCACACCGGCGTCTGGGTCATTCTTAGGCAGATAGACGGGCTCCGCTCAGAGCCGATGTGGGCTTCCTGGAGCGGGAACCCTGAGGGGTGGAGGGCAGGGACTAGAGCCACTGCCCTGGTTGTCACTCCAGCTGTGGGTGAGGCTGGGCCTGTGTGCACCTTGGGCGCTGTCGTGAGGGTCCGGTTCGTGCTTATATAGCCCTTTGTAAGAGCCTCCTGTTTGCTGCCCTAATTAAAGCGTTTACAGCGGGTGTGGGGGCAGCAAAATGGGGCAGCCTTCTTTGGGGTTACACGTTTGAAGGCTCAGGCACTTCTGCTTTGACATCTCCAGTCTGGGCTACTGTAAGAGGAGAACCACACCAGGCTCAATTCCCACGCTGCGGAAATGCGCGGGGGCAGTTTCCGAGGGGGCTTGCGTCCATGCAGTCGCAGTCACTGCCTCTGTGGCCCCTCAGCGACACCGGGGGGTGCGACCTCGGTGTTAGAATGACCTGGTCGTCTCGGCCCGGAGCTCCCAAGTGCGGAAGCAGAGCGGCGCACGGGCGGCTCGGCCCGGGCGTCAGGGAGGCGGGGGCGGGGCAACCCGGAGGAGGGGCCCGCGAGCGGGAGCGTGGGCTCCGGCTGACAGCGCGGTCCCGTCCGGGCCGGGAGCTGCGGGCGCCAGCCACCGCACCTGCGGCGGAACCGAAGGCAGCAGCTCCTGCGCGCCATCCGGACGGCCTCCCGGTGCACTGCCCGGGCCGGAAGCGGTCTGTCGGCCACCTCGCGTGAAGGCGTGCTGTGGGGCTGGAGGTCTGGCCCGATGGGCGGTTGAGGGGAGTGCACTGCAGTCTTGGGACCCTCCTTGGGGACGCAGAGGGCGCAAGAGTCAGGGCCGCTCGCACGCCGGAGGGAAACGGTAGGCGTCCGCGCCGAGCGGGTGCGCAGGCGCGGAGCGTCCGGCCGGGGGCGGGCCCTTTAAAGGAGCCGCGCGCGCTGGGAGCCGGCTGAGGGTGGGAGCCCCGAGGGCC